TTTTTTTTACAGCTCATTTATACAAGTTTGCAATGTACAGTGCTTAACTAATTTTTAGACCACCACAAGGTTTGTGCCACATGCTCTAAACTAACAGTATTGGTGATTACCAAAATAATTATTTATGTTTCTGTTATTTAATCCACACCAGTATGTGTAAACTCTTTAGTCACAGTAGTGTTTCTAATGCTAAAATAATATAATTATTGTTGCAATGCATGCCTTTTTGAATGTACATACTGTTTTACAAGAAAGGCAGAAAATAGTACAGCACTTTATTATTACTATTATTTTTTATTCAGATGCCCAATTACAGTCAATAACAACAGAGACTGTGGAAAAGCATAAAAATAACGCCAGCAAAAATACAAGCTGTTATCAAGGCCAAAGTTATTATGGTTATTATGCGTGAATAAAGAGTTGTTTCAGTTTGTTATTCACTTAATAAATGACAATAAAATCTTTAGTTTTAAACAAGTTTTTGACAGTCTCCTAAAATATCTGTGCTTATTAGCCTACTGGTGTGGATTAACCATTACAGAAACATAAAAATGATTTTGGCTACTGTTAGTTTAGTGCAGCTGTGGCACAAACTTTACATTGGGTGGTGGTGGTCTAATAAATGTGCTAAGCACTGTATAATACAAGTTTATGCAATACGCGCACGTACTGAACTTACTTACAGTTCGGGGTCTTCGCAACGTTCAACCGCTGCCTGATGTCTGCAGAAACCAGCCGAGACTCTATTGGTGGCTGCAGGGAAAGCGAGCTCCAGAAAACCTTTGCATATGCCACATCTTCTTGAGACGCTCCATCAAATACTGTATAAAGTTTGTCGATTTCTGCAACACTGTCCAAAACCTCTTTGTCTAGTTCTTCAGTCATAATAGTTAGCGAGCTTGCTGTTCTAGCAATAGGTAACCAGGCATGTGTTACGGTTGCTAAGGTAACTAAACGCTCCATATCTACGGAAGTGTGTGAGGAATTACATAATAAAGAGATACTTCCATACTTCTGTTCTGACGGGAATTTAAAAAACTGTTAATTACATTACTGTTAGTTTCTGTACTATATTAGACGAGACAATTTAACGGACAATATTTTAAATTACTTAATGTAGTAGAATATGTTTTGTGAGTAAAACGTATGAATGACCGAATGATTTACATTGAAAATCTGTATAATATCGTAAAACAATACATACTTACACAGTAATATTGTTACCCTACATGTTTTTGTAAGTAGAATGTCCTTATTTTAAGATTAGTATTATATTTATATTGTCTTTGCGTAACAATGTGCACTTGCCTAAATGAAAAACCCATTTATTTTATTTATTTATTTATTCTTTACAATGACACGGTTGTTAACATTATATCAAAACGAATAGGCCTACAGCTATGAAC